TTTTTTTAAATGGTTTCCTACTTCCATTCCCTTTTAAACAGTTGATGTCTGGAGTGTCACATTTAAGGCCCCTCTTCAGCTGTGTCTGGGATGCAGYGAGTCCAGCCAGGCCATTTGAAAAAAAACTCTGTAATTTCAGTAAAAATGAACTTCTTTTCCATTCTGGGGCCTTATCCCCATCCCTGTCACTGTGGACACAGACAAGGCTGGACAACAACTGAATATTCTGTGTATATGTAACTGGGTTTGTTATCTATCAGTTGCTCGTGTAAAATATTTTAGGATATTCAAGCACATTTTGGAGATTCAGAAAAATCTTTCTAGGAGATTTACATCCTTAAGCTCCCGAGGCTTTTTTGGGAGCACCTCTCAATCTCCCTACTTCAAGGAGGTCACTGCAGACACCTTTGCAGCTGYACATTCCCATTCCAGAGTCCTCTGCCAGGACCAGGGGGGTTTGTGTCCTTCTCCAGGATGCAAATCTGGGTGCACTCAGCTCTCACAGAGAAAGCAATCAGGGAAAAATCAGTCAAGACTAAATAAATTTATCACAGAAGATGTGAGCGCTGGCCACAGGCCAAAATTATTTGCTAAAGACTTGAAGAGCCTCCAAGCCGGGTAAACAGAAGGGTATTTCCTGAGGACAGGAAGGAAACAGCTCAACTTTTGTCRTACCTTCACCTTCCCACAAGCTCTGCCAGTCTAATTGTCTTTCTGACCCCGATGGACACGCCAGCCAGCCTGATGAGCCATTGTTCCCTTTTCGTGCATTCAGCATTTCCTGAGCCCCCTCAGCTCTTCCTTCTCAGAGGAGCCAGCAGGATGCAATCAGGGCAGGATTCTGTTCTCCACCTGAGTTTTAGGCTGCTCTCAGTGTCAATCCCACTGTTTACACCCYTGTGCTCTGTGTGAGGCGAGGAGCTCCAAGGTGAGGATGAACAGAGCTGCAGTGTGTGAGTGTGGCTGAGAGCTGAGCCKCCTCCTCACTCCTCTTCATCTCTCACCCCTCTGTCTGCCTGATAAACCAGACAAACCTTAGTTTTAGGGTTTCCCAGTTGATTCTTCCTCATCACATCACGYTCAGGGGCTCAAATCATCTCAGTGTTCAACCACACGGGTGAAGACCTTGATGGTTGGAAATCAGAGCAAGGTTCCTCCATCTCAGCACGTCCTCTCCAACCTTGGTCAACACCAGGAACTCAGGGGTGAGAGACAAGAGCACAACCAGAACCCCCAGTTGGTACCCCCAGCTCTGAGCAGGGACATCTCTGGGTTTGACAGCCCTGGAGAGGCTCCCTAAGCTCCCCTTCCCAAATTCTTGCATTTTTTGCAATCTATTGATACTTTTTATGCTGACACCCACCTGTGACAGCTCCAGCGCTTCATTATATAATAAAAAGGATAAAAAAAAAAGAACTTCCTTTGCTCTAAAGCTCCATTTGATGTCTCCTAATTCTGAGGTTATGAAGAACGTTCAGTCATTGTCCCCTCTCCGGTGTGACRTTCAGCCTTGTTTCATCATGCCCCTTTCCTCCGTCACCTCCTTTCAAAAGTGACAAATCCTGGTCTATTTTCTCTCCCTGGATAAAAGCTGTTCCCTACCTTTGATCACCATTTTTGCCCTTCTCTGTACCTTTTCTGGATATAATGCTTCTTCCTCCTCTGAGGTGCAGCCGGGGAGGGGGAAACAAGAAYGGAATGCAGAACCCGAGACGTGAGCGCTCTGTGGATTTATAAAGTGGTAATGAGGGYTCTTGTTTTATCCTCTATTTCTGTCTCGGTAATTCCTGTGATCCCTTTTGCTTCTTTGAGTGCTGCTGAGCGCTCAGGCTTCAGAGCAGSCTGAAATGTGGAACCTATTCTTTAKGAGCAGTTTCATGTCTTTTAATGAACTCTGCTGATCTGGGGGAAAACGCACGGCCCCTGCCTATCCACAGCTGGAGCAATGCCCGAGGTTCCTGTCTGCTGGGAGAGGGAGGATATTGGCTCTCCAGCATTTCTGAGAGCTGACAGTGTGCACTTCCTTTCTTTAGAAGCTTTTCAGGCGTTCAGAGCTCAGCTCCACGCAGCAGCTCTGTGAGGTAGGTAAGAACCACTCAATGGATTTCACAGAYGGGGAAAYTGAGACCCAGAGATTTGTCTGATTCACTTAGAGACTGTCACAGAGCCAGGAACGGGCCCTGAGCTGATGTCTGGATGAAAATGAGACCAGG